TTTATACAATTTGTCGAATATACATATACATATAACCATATTAAATGTATGTTCACAACACTTTGATAAAAATTTACTGTGGAAAATTGCCATATGAAATATAAAACCGCGAATATCTGCGAAACTGTAAAAAATTTTGAAATGCTCTAAATACAAAAATGTTCATTTTTTAATTCTCCATCTATTGAAAAAATAATATACAGGGTGTAATTAAGAAAAAAACAAGAAAAATTATTTTATATTTTAGAAAGTTTCGCGTAGAATTTTGAACAATACCATATTTATAGCAAAATGCAGACCAGAAGTTCTTATAATTTTAATATTTTTTTTAAGAAAGGCTGAGAAATATGTATTTTTTATTTATTTATTAATATCTCTGAAACAATCGAAATATATTTACTCATATCTTAGGATTATGTAAAGTGATCTAAAAGAAAGCCAACAATGCAATAATATTCGGAGTGTTCCGTTTTCAAAAAAATCATCCCACTCCACCACTATTGTCTTTAAAAAAAATCCATTAAAAAAATCCTACTCCACCCTATAAAAGTTAAAATATTTTACTGAAATACGTCCTAGTACATGCTTTAGGTTTGCACTTAAACAAAATTCACAAGTTTTTTAGTCTAGAAGCTACAAATGCCCGACGCACTATTGCCGAACCCTGTATAAGAGTGATGACCCTGTATAAAACAGTAATCTCAGGTTCTTACTGTGAGATTCATCTTTAAATCTGCAACTTCCCTAAGTAGTACTGGAACAAATTGGTAAATTGGTAACCCAAACAGACGTACTGTTTAGATTACATTACTGAAAATGAGAAAATCAATTATTTAGCAGTTTTTTATAACGGTACGGTGATGTTGTACTGTTTAACCATGTGAAATGCAGGGAAATATTGGCTAGTTTGATAACACACCCATTATATCATTTCAAGCCATACAAAATCAGTTATCATTAGTCATCGAAATATTAGGGCACAGATACAAAGAACCTTTGAAATGTATTTTTCTACAAGCACTCATGCTTTTTGTAAAATATCTTACGTATTACAAGGGCAGTAATACCCTTACGACTTATTAGCCTTATACAGCAAGTTGTTACGCCACTGCAATTAGGAACGATATATTAAAGAAGTACCATTTAGGAGCCGGTATAGGCGACTTACCCCTATTTTTAGTTACGAAAGAAGATTGTTAATGTAAGCTCAAAATGCCTGAGAGAGCAGATTTATGTAAAGAATGACAACAATTTTTTCGAAGAATACGTTTGATGTATGATATATTTTTTATGTCATAAAGAAGTTTAAAAGAGGAATATTTCGTTTGTTTTAATTATTAATATTTTTAGTTTCATAAACAAGACGATTATCTTCAGTTCAAAATAAAAGAAAATATGTATGTGAAAGATGATAAAAGATTAAATGTTTGAATGTGGTAGACAGTGCCGTAGCTGCAACAAGTCAGTTAAAAAGACTTCTTGTTAATAAACTATACAGATAAAATAAAGAAATACCTTATACTATATATATATCTAGCTTATACCAAATAAACTTTTAGTCTCGTAATTAAGCTTGACCGGCCCAGCGTTGCCCACTTTTACATATTTTCTTTTAATCAAAATATTTTAGGAAACAAAAAAAATATATTTATAAATATATAAACAGTTATTATTTGTATCAACAAAACTCACCTTCTTAACAGCACTTAAGGAATATTACTACCGCTTTCCCGTTCAAAATAGTTTAATAAAGTTGCGATGGTTTTTTTACGGCTATTAAGCTATCTTGTACACTACACACTAAAATAGAGGTTCTAAAAAGAGCAATGTTCGCCTGCAAGGTCTGCTAGTAAAAATCTTTAAGCTTAAAATATCACAACACAATTAATTTAAACCAAGTCGTAATACAAAACTGAAGTGTCAAAACGAATAACAAAGTCAGAAAATAAATATATAAATGTGGCAACTTGACATTTTTTACAGCAGAGCTACCACCTGAATCCCCAGCGGGAAATTTAAATTCCAGTTAGTCAGCCCGGCGCCGAATATGTCCATGGTTGGCAACAATGAATTTAAAAATGGCGTCCTCGATTACGCAACTAGACATTTAATTGGTATCGAATATATCTACTAATTACAACAATTAAATAGTTTTTAATATAAATAATATTTAAATTAAATCATAATAAAGATAGTTTTCTCGCAAACTAAAAAAAACCTGAAAAAAAGTTTGATTGAGTTATAACCACAAACTATTAATACTTGAATAATTTTCATTAGCTAACAAAATTATCAGTATTCATAACCATAACTAAACTATCTAATATTATAAGTGCATCAAACATGTTCGGACATAGAGCGAAACATTCGGTTTCAACATTTCAACAATATTTCGGCCGAAACCAAAACTAAGCCGAAAACAGTTATTTTTGACGAAACTGGGCCAGCGAAACCGAAATTTCGGTCGGACACTATTTAAGGCATTATGATAACACAAAATATTTAAAATTGTTTACTTATGTGTTCTTAAGTCCCTGCTACAAAGTACTGAACCACCCCGTATGTACTATCACAGGTACTATGTTTTCAAAATGATAAAGCAAGCATATAGATAAATTATGCTTGTTTATATAGGTATAGGGTTGTTCACCACATACGACACGGAATATTGTAGCTAAACGATTAGATTTTTACAAATTGTAAGTTTTGGGTCCGTTGAAGGACTATTAGAGCTACAATTTAAAAATATTTTTACAAGATACAGAGTGTCCCAAATAAATAAAAAATATCAAAGTTGTATTTTTTTAAATGGGACACCCTGTATATTATTACATTTTTAGTTTCTACGATTAAAATAAAGGTAAATTTGACTAAGGTTTATTACACTTAAACCTTACCGTTTTTGAAATATTTTCAATTTTGTGAAATTGCAGTATAAATTTTAAGACTTCATTTCTCCGAGGGTATCAAAGTTTTTAATACTAAATATTTACTGAAGTTTATTTATTGGTCAGTTATTGTGTTGCAATAATAAAAATTTTACTATCTTATACAGAGTGTCTAAATATTTATTTTAAATAATTATTAGTTTTTAACGGCAATAACTTGTTTAATTTAAATGGAACACCCTGTATATTTTATGAGAATCAGATGCACAATTTAATTGTCTATGAAATTGTATTATACCATTTTATACCTATCTTAGGATAGGTAATACAAGGGATAGGTAAAAAGTGGTATAATACAATTTGATAGACAATTAAATTGTGCATCTGATTCTCATAAAATATACAGTGTGTTCTATTTAAATTAAACAAGTTATTGCCGTTTAAAGCTAGTAATTATTTAAAATAAATTTTTAGACACTCTGTATAAGATAGTAAAATTTTTATTATTGCAACACAATAACTGATCAATAACTAAACTTCAGTAAATATTTAGTATTAAAAACTTTGATACCCTCGAAGAAATGAAGTCTTAAAATGTATACTGCAATTTCACAAAATTGAAAATATTTCAAAAACGGGTAGGTTTAAGTGTAATAAACCTTAAAATATATCTTTATTTTAATCGTAGTAACTAAAAATGCAATAATATACAGGGTGTTCCATTTAAAAAAATACAACTTTGATATTTTTGATTTATTTTGGACACTCTGTATCTTGTAAAAATATTTTTAAATTGTAGCTCTAATAGTCCTTCAACGAACCCAAAACTTACAATTTCTAAAAATCTAATCGTTTAGCTACAATACTCCGTGTCGTATGTGGTGAACAACCCTGTATACAAGGGTATTATATATTTATATTTATTAAATATGTATATTTTTACAGATAACTGCGAAACAGAAACTCCCTATTTATTAATGTAGCTGTAATAAGCCTGTAACATATCTAAATATAAATAACAAAATATAAAAAGTGCGTACTATTCAATAAAATATACGCCTCGAAAATTTAATTGCAACTATTAAGCTTGTTTGTATTTATCTATTTATTGTTTTTATATGTTAATTCTAAGTCTACCAATATACTTTCCAAAGAATTTGTTAAAATGTAAGTCAAAGAAGATATATAGGACATATAAAAACAAAAGATACAAACGAAGAAGGAAATAGAAGAAATATGAAGAAAAAACGAAGAATGAAGATTTTTCTACAAATAGTTACAGAATATCAATATTTGTTCTGTTGCGTTGGAAAAACGAGGAACCATTCTAATCAAGAAGAAGAAGAATATTTAAACTGTCACCTGGCCTTATTACCTTGATAAAAGTATCTATTAATAAAAAATGATAGATATATTATATTTTTCTTTCGCTATTGTCACAATAGATCATAAATAATATAATATGATCTATAGGTTTGCTACTGAGTTTCTGATCTCTGATATTTAACAATTTTTGATAAATAAAAATGTTATTTAACGAAAACAAAATAATTGAAGAATGTCGCTTCAAGAATCTTCAAAAGGTAAGCTGCAATAATAAAACTGCGCTTTTCTTGTATATTTACGTACCTGTTTAGATTTTAAATAGATATTAAAATTTAAATAATATTAAAAAAATCTTTATTACATTACGTTAAAAATGTACTGGATATAAATCATTCTATTGTATAATCTTTTTTACGGTACCTCTGGTATAAGACCAGATACCGAAAACGGTATATCGTTCTTGTTCCTGTATCAAATCCGTTCAAAATTGCCCGTTTAACGAAACTGTACTATTACGCGAACATTCTGTACTCAAAAATGACTAAAAAAATCACTCGGTTCAGTTTTACAACCCATTTGAATACCGTAGACAGTGCTTAAAGCGCTTAAATATTTTAAAAAATGTTTCACCCGCGGGATATACAAAACTGTAAACACGTTAATATATATTTGATTCGTATGCAACCAGTTAATCATGGCTGTCATCTATTACGTGGCGCGGCGTTGCCACGCCCAGAATTTTTCTACCAATTCCAATAGAAAAATTCGGACTTTTTTAATTTTTTTTCTGTCGGATCGGTTGATTTTAACCCAGTTAAATTGCGGGAATGGGTTTGGGTGAAATTTCACGTAAAAATCGTGAGAAATCCCTTATAGAGATTGAAGAAATTGAAACGGAGACGTACAAGTTCCATCCTCCCATGGAGCCCATTCGAGACCCGACAACGCCGTGTCACCCTAAACCCATTTCATAATTTGGTTTTTTTCTTTTGAGTCCCGTTTTCTAAATGTAAGCATTACACGAAAAAAATCGCCCGTTCAGTTCGCGATCAAATTTCACACAACAAATCGTCCTTATGTAGTGCAGTTCTTGTTTCGATTATGAGTTTTTCTACCAGCCGCCCATCATTTCCAAAACACCAGATCAGAAAATTTATCTAGTTGCCTGTGATCGGTCTAAAAAGTTGTAGGAGGTAAGTTTGAGACTTTTCTCGTGTTTGTTTTGGTGGATCGCAGATGTTGTCGCCTTTGACGGGCCCCAATTTGACCGTCCCGGACCAGCAAAGGGTCAAGGGACGGTCAAACGGGTCTAAAAATACATTCCAAGGAATCATTACGGACGAAATCACAATGGCGGGCTATCGTAAGGTTAAGAGTTGAGTGCGTCTTAAAAAATTAGGCCCTCGTGGTCTAACACGCAGATCCGGATCTAGAAACCGTTTCCAGGACCGTTTTGTGGCCTTAGAGCGCTAATGTGCCCCGCGTGCAGGCGAGATATAAATCTAAAAATAGATGCGACCTACACAAATGTACTTTTAAGGGCATAGAACTTTGGTGCCAACGAACCGACTTTCTTGGGTCGCCCTTCTACACAGTTTTTTCTCGGCCGTGACGTCTAACTGAGGTTAGATTCCTTCGTCAAATGCATTCTTCTATGTAATTGAATCGGTGCTTCAAGTTAACTTAACTGTTGTTTTCTACATGGTTACAGTTTTAGGTCAAATAACTCATTTTAAGAACAGTTTGCAAATCTTGATTTTAACTAATAGGCGGCCGCTCAATTTAACGCGGTAGCTAGTGATACGCGTCCAGGGCTTTTTTTAGTTCACGCCGTCTGTTTAGAAATGTAAGTGTTGTGTTTTTCGCGATTATACTGTGTTGCGTTGGCTGCCAGATTTTTCACCATCAGTTTCAGCTGGTCCAAAAGTTAATTGATACAGTACTAGAGACGCCACTCGCGCTATTTTAATTGTTGCAGCGAAATTAAGCAAAAAATTCGACGTCGGATCGTTGACCTTTTCGCTTAAATTTATCTCAAATACGTGTTTTAATATACAAACAAAATTATTCTTAAATAAACACACTTACTCCAATTATTAAAAACTAAGAAGTCACATCAATTGATGCTCATGGCTCATTTGTTTTCTATTTCCATAACAATTGATTGAGAATGTCACTTGACCACTGCAAAAAAATCGTCGCGCATATTTTGATTTGTAACAAAATTATATGATGTCAACAGGTTCCAAAATTACTAAGCCAAAATGGACTCCCAACAGTACTGCCTTAGATGGAATAATCATTTGAAAAATTTGACAGAAGTGCTCAGTGACTTTCTTAGGGAACAAGTTTTATGTGATGTCACATTGGCCAGCAATGGACAAACCTTTCAGGTATTTTTTATCATTAGAGTAAAGGCGACATATATGGAATAGGTCAGTAGTCAGAATGGTATATAAAATCTGAGGAAAATTGTACTCAATTTCTGGTAATACTGCCTTCAAAGAGTCTACATAAGTACCCTTTAAATATTTGCATTTGCGCAAAATAAAATAGTAAGTCACCACAATAATACACCAAATCACTTTTGCACTGGACGCGCGTTTCGCTAACCGTGTTAGCAGATGATTAAAACCATTTAGTTTTAATACCTTTCATTAGCAAAACGCGCGTCCAGTGCAAAAGTAAAATGTTTTGGTGTATTGTGATGAATTATTGTTTTACTTTGTTGTACCAAAGGTTCCAACTCTCAACTGTAATTTGTATTTCATCCACATTTTTATTTGTTTTGATTGTCCTAAGATTTACTTTTATTTTCAGTCAAGATAGCATAATCAAATCCTGTAATTTTCTGTATGTTTTTGTGAAAGACAATTACAGTTTGAATAAACAGATTCATCAAGGATAATTTCATACTATGTTATATGTCATACCATTCAATCGAAAAAACGGCGTCAAAGTTGGTTTGGAAATGAAGATTGCTGTCATTTTAGATGTAAAATTATATTGTGAATGTCATTGATTGTCATTTCCAAGCCAACTTGACGCTGTTTTATTCAGTCATATTATTAGGTAAATTGTATGTAGTTGAAAATATTGACAGGCATCTCCTACTGTGTTTTTTATGAATTGAATGTGCATTTTTCATGAAATACTATGCTATATTTTTTTATGTTAATTACTTTATGTCGAAAAGAGACATGTACGGACAAAGTCTTTCTCTGACAAAGAAAAATATAATAAAATATTGAAAGTGGAGTAAATGTATAAACACTATACAGAGTGTCCAAGAAATAAGTGCAAGTAAATACTTAAAATTAAGGGGTGGTAGATCTGGTCAAAAAAATATATTTTCTCTTTGCCATTTATAAAATAAATTGAAAATAACCAAGCTATTTGACTATGACAATTTAAATATAAAATTTTCAACAATTTTTTTTTTCGCAAAAAAACCTCAAAGGGGTGTTTCTAGGGTCGAAATTACTACCAGCTAAAATACTTGCACTGATTCCTGAGATACACTGTATAGTGTATAGGGTTTCCAAATCGGGATCACGGTGTATATATTTGTCACGAAATCCTGATATTAAATCCCTGGATCCTGAAAATCTCGAAAAATTTAAATGCCGAATCTAAAATGATTAGACTTTATACACTTTAGTCTTTCAAAGATCATATTTTATTTATACTAAGCAGAACGTCAATATCTAAAAGTTATATTTCCGTGTTTGTTATATTTTATTTTTCTTTGCAAAAAGGGTTGATTTTTTTGTAATTATTAAATATGAATGTTATAAAAATACTATTATGGTTGCCTACCCACTAGACAAAGATTTTCGTAGATAATTTCATTTCTATGATTTTGCGTTAGTCGATCTTTATTATTTGATAAAATCTAGATATAAATGTATAATTATGTGATAAAAATTAGCTAGATGTAGTCAAATGCTTAAAATGCATCCTTTCTTGTTCATTGCATAAAATGATTATTTTTTCAAAAGATCTTTTCATGATCGTTCAAAAGAGCCATACATGGAGTTCTGCTTCAAAAAGCAGCCACAATCATATCATTTCTCTCTTTCTTTTTTCATATCATTTTTTTCTTTCTAATTTGACAGCTATGTTGAAGTAACGTCAGGCATATCACAGCCACCTAGATTTTAAAAACCTTTGTTTGAGGGGTAGGCAACTTTTATAGTATTTTGAAGAGACATGAATTCCCCATTGAATATCAGAATAACATACCATAGCTATTTAAAGTAAAAGAGTAACTTGCTTTTAAAGGTGGCCAATGTTCATTATTAATTCTCTCACCCTGTATAACTTTTTGGATCATGTTGTAATTTGATTTAAAGATCAATAGATATTTTAACTACATATTAGCCTATAATGGGTAATTTCCAATTTAGGCAGCTTTTATGGAAATTTAAAAGTTGTTCTTCATTTTTAGGAAGTCTAAATACGTCAAAAATCTTTCATTTTAGTCATATACTTCTGTAACGAAACTCACCTTGATTTTCCTCCTAGAATCTGAAAATCATTTATCATATAGATAATTAATAATAATATAATGATTTATCATATTTTTTTTGTTCCATTACAAAAAACCCAACTTTGATGTGTAACTTTTTTTGACGACACCCTGTATAAATCTATATTTTTAAAAACTGCTCTAAATTAACCTACATGTGCTCACAAACATTTCATTTCAAGATAAAATGTTGTTCTCCTTGGAGCTTCCACGTCGCACACGCGGAAAAATTCTATGTTTAGCTTGACAAAAATCGAAATTAGATTTTTTTTTTGTTTGTCCGTTTTGTTTATCCACTTACTGTCGTTCTTATAAAATTTGTGGACCTAATTTTAAATGTTATAATTTCTTCTGAGCAATAATAACGGCGCAAGCGTTACCGAAAGTTGATGGAGTCTACTCTTTCTGGGGAGAGCGTTAGCCTTGCACAAACGTGGAGCGCAAAAGAGTGTCATTTACACCCAGCACACACAGCTATTCGAAAATTAATTATGATTATGGACAGTATAGCTACAGACATGTAGTACAATTACATAACATCAATATAATAAATTTGAACTGCTTTGAAAGTACCTAGATAAAATATATTTTAAACACACTATTTTGGGTCTATTTTTTTATAGTTTTGTTTTCATAATGACTTCCACGGAGTTCCGCTTTTGATTTATTAAAATTAAAATTCCTAATGTAGGTTGATACAAGTAGTGATGGGAAAAACCGATTAATAATTTCAATCATCGAGTACTCGACTTCAAGCGATTGCAATAACCGAGTGATCGCTCGAGCGAAATATCACTCGTATAATACGGTTTTTCACCCGTCGCTTATTGTAAGTACTCGTTAACGCCAAGCAGTAAGTTGCGTGCGCAGGGCACATACTTTCGGTGATGAATGGCAAGTTGCAAGCGGCGACCGATTTGCTTGATCGCTTGATTTAGTTTATTTCAAAGCATTGTCGATGGAGGTCGTAAAATTTTGTCCCTCAGATACGCAACGGATAAATATATATACGGCGTCGTATAAATTTGCTATCTGCGATTTATGTTGAAAATTCGCTCGGCTTTTTATCGAGTATGTCACATTAAAATCGGATTTCAGTTTATTTCATTCTAGGATCGCTTGCTTTCGTCGTTTGGTACTCGTCACTTGCATCGCTCGTTCATAATCGAGCGATGTCGGTTATTTCAATAATCGAGTACTCGAGCGAAATTTCGCTTCAGCGATCCCATCACTAGATACAAGTATAAAAAATCAGCTTTCCCAAATCTGCCCTTTTTTGAAATAGCTCTTTATTTACAGTGAGTCGCAGATTTCTATATCCAAAATAGTGTATTTAAAATATATTTTGTCTACATTCAAAACAGTTGAAATTTATTATATTCATGTTATTTAATTGTACTAAATACCTGTAGCTATATTGTACATAATGATGATTAATTTTCAAATGGCTATGCTGGGTGTAAATGACACTCTTTTGCGTTCCACGAAAAATGCAAACTGCATCAATTTTCGGTAGCGCTTGCACCATTCTAGTTGAATGGAAAAATCTGTAATATTGAAAATTAGCCCTACAAATATAATAAGAAAAACAATGTATGGGTAAATATAGGGAAAAAAATAACCTCGATTTTTGTCAAGCTAATCACAGCATTTTGCCGTGCGTGCGTCGTATGAGAGACGCCATGCACCCTGTATGATTTTTGTAATGACTTATGAAACATTTTATTACTTATGCTACAAATAAATCATTACCATTATCTCTACTATAGAAAAATATTAATAATTACCAGATTTTTACATTAAAATAAACTATTCCATGTGTCGTTTTTACTCTACATAAACAACAGCGAAAGAAAACGCTCGAACGAACGAACATTTTAGGCGCACCAAATGGTTTTATCAGCATGCTCCCCCTATTTTGAGAGATTATTTGTACAAAATCCGAACAAACACCCGATAGTTTTCCTTAAAGATGTCAGTCCGAACGAAGTAAAAGCTCTATTAGATTTTATGTACAAGGGCGAGGTGAACGTGTCCCAAAATTTGCTGCCCGCCTTCTTAAAGACGGCCGAAAGTTTACAGATAAGAGGTCTGTCGGACAGCAATAATCTGAGCGGCCAGAACGAGGACAGAGAGATGGAGAACAAGCCGCCGCCGCTTAGGAGGGACCGCGAAATTCAGAGACCGGGAAGGGACAGTCCGTCTTTGAAAAGGAAAAGGACAGCATCGAACAACAACTGTGATAACTCATCGAATTCTGTTGATAGAAATTGCGACTCGCAGGTTAGATTCTTCATTTTCTTAGTTTGTCATGCCAATGCTTTTAAATCATTTCGACCGTCTAAATGACAGAAACCGAAATCGATCGAAATTAAGCGATCGCGTCGTGTTGTTTTCTGACTTCAGAGCGCTTGCACACAGACCGGCAAAATCAGGGCTTTGCACACGACGCGACAGTTGCATTTAATTCAGTTGAATTTGCCGGTCCTCGACTATTTTAACGGATCGGAGTATATGTGAAGGAGTTAATTTATTTATATTTCAATCGATTTTAGGACCGGCACTGGCACCGATTTTGCCGGCGTTTCTTAGCCCGTGGTTACATTGGATGCGTGTCTGTGCGTATTTTTGGTCATATATACACGGATGTGCACGCATCAAAAAAACAAACAATCTACGCAGGCGGTTACATTGCATCGGAGTTTGCGCGTCCGTGCACGTACGTCAATTTCCGTTGGTTCGCTGAACACAAACTGGTTTGTTTTTTTAATTCGAATTTTTTTCGATCGAATTTTTTTTCTCTGATCCCAATACAGAGACAATACATTCCCGAAAAATTTGAATACCTATTTTTAAATACCAGGCTTAATTGTATTTGGGATATATTAATGTTGATGGAGACATTCTAAAATATTAAAAAAATTTGACGGGTTGCTGTCTTAATTCTACAAATGTTTTTTACATATACACTATTTTCTCCTCCTCTTCTTGCATGTGAATCATTTACCCAACATTTTCTTATTTTAATGAGTAGTTATTTTAACATTATATCCTCACACAGCATCAAAGTAGTGGCGCTTTTTTTGACAAACTCGACACACAGGACACCATGAACGCGATGATCTAATGTAACCACTATAATAAAATAGACGTGCGAGTAGATTCCGTCAGAGCCCGTACGTATAAAAACGCACGGACCCGTGTCCAATGTAACCGCGGGCTTAAGCTTCTGTCACAGTGGATGCGGATACGAGCGCAACCGTCCGAATTTCTAATCTTCCATATACCGGGTGGTGCTTCGTTGTTGGAAACATAGGAAATTGCATGCAAATTTTGAACTGTCTAGATATTGGCTCCCCTATTAATTTTTCACTGAAGTTGTAAATAGTTTTTTATATGGTCTGCGTATGCTGAATACACTGTCAAATCGTATTTTCTAAACGTTAAGCTTTTGCCTCATTCGAGCCAGTTTTAAATTACAAAAATACATTTCGGGGACACTAAGGGTAGGTACTATAATGTATATATCGGCACAGCGTTGCCCACTTTTACATAATTTCTTTTAATCAAAATATTTTAGGAAACAAAAATAAATTAATTATAAATATATAAACAAATATAAACAGTTATTATTTACATCAACATAACTCACCTCCTTAACAGCCCTTAAGGGACATAAAGGGCCATTAATACCGCTTTCCCGTTCAAAGGGCGATGCGATAAAGTTAAAGTTGTGATGTGTAATCGGGAGATTAATATATTTAACAGAAATTGATATTTGAAATATAATTCTAACTATCTTGACCAACAATGTCTTCTCTGGGCCGAAATCAACAATCCCCGACATTCAACTATTTCCAAAGCCTATCACTCCGCTACTCGCAAACATCAGCGGACCGGGGTGCAGGCACGGCGTGAAAATCACTGCCTATCATAAGGATCATAGGCGTCGATAACATTCGGCCATTCCTGACTTATGAGTGTCCTCACTCCTCTGAATCATACTAAAAGGACATAAATAATCAGAACCTTTTAAATGGCATTTTTAAATGCTGAAATAAAAATATTTATTAGCTTGTTTGCTGCTGAGTCATATCTTTATCAGCTAATTGCTACTACCATTGTTACATCACACTAAAAAGACAAAAATAATCAGAATCGTTTAAAGGACATTTTTAAATGCTGAAATAAAAATATATGTTAGATTGTTTGCTGCTGATACTGGACAATTGATACAAAACCAATTGACAAAACCTTATCAGCTAATTGTTACCATTGTTACATCACACTAAAAGGAGAAACATAATCAGAATGGTTTAAAGGACATTTTTAAAAGCTGAAATAAAAATATAGTTAGATTGTTCACTGCTCATACTGGAGCTACGTCTTATTCTCTACTTAAATAAATAAAAATAAAATATCGTAACTCACTCAAAAACAATACTCAAAAACTCATGATGCACAAATAAATCATTCAGGGACAAAAGACAATTTCAAAAGGTAAAATAAACAAATTACTTATTATATATTGGTGTTGCACGCAATCTGCAGCTTGCGTGCCACAAAATAAAGTTAAATCTCAAATCTAAATTCAAAAATCTAGAATGTAACTATGGGCCCACGCCTATTCCAGCCACTGGAAAAGAGAGCAATCCGGGTCGAACCAACCAGACCGAATACCGGGACTACAACCCTATTCGCAAGTCTTATCCGCCCTACTCACAAAGCGCCCAGGTGGTAAACTCATACCTTAGCAACCACCACACGCCTTTTCCAGCTATCATATTAACGTATACCTTGAAAAAGAGAGTACCGGCTAGAACTAATCCTACTCCTTTTTCCTATCCTAATACACGTTTGAATCTACCATAACCAAATCCATAGCTTGACAAACCTAGCTATTCCACAATACTTTTGTTCTTTGACCGTGCATACCATCCTAGTATGTTTCTAACTTCATATCAACCAATCCTCAGCTGCTTAGAAATTCAAATGAACCTGTCTACCATGGAGATTAATTGGATCCTATTAGCCGTGTCGAAGTGATCCTCAGTAGATCTAACGCTGAATATAGTTCGCTACGCATCCAATTTTTCTTTTATTCCGCTTGATATTACGCATAATTCGCTACTAATTTACGCCGAAACTCGCTAACGCCGACTTTATCATTTACGCCTGGAGGGATAAACGCAACTTGTCCAGATACGCTCATTTTGCTCCTAGTGCTTAGATTCCACACAATCCAAACTGAATGTTTGAAACATTTTCAACCTTTTCCTGTTATCTTCCGGAGTCTGTAACTTGTAGGGGTAATATGACGCTTCTTTCCAGCACTGCATTTTTTCCGCTAATATCTTCGAGTACTAGAGCTGCCAGGATGATCCCTCCGGTTTTCTTTTCGCGCTTCGCCGATCCGACGACGGTATCCGAAATCCGACGGGTACCCGTTTCTGAGACCACCAAATCACCGAATCGATAATCGAAACCGACGCGACGCCTTTACGAAACGATAGTCTCAAAGGTCAAAGTCAAGTCAATAGTCGTCAGTAAGTCAGAAATACGCCGTCACGGCCTAAGAACGCTGGATTAAACTCATCGTTACTTCTGATGTAATCCGGAGATTAATATATTTAACAGAAATTGATATTTAAAATATAATTCTAAGTATCTTGACCAACAATGTCTTGGTTTGGTTTGGTTTGGTCTAGATTCTCTGGGCCGAAATCAACAATCCCCGACATTCAATTATTTCCAAAGCCTACCACTCCGTTACTCGCAAACATCAGCTGACCGGGGTGCAGGCACGGCGTGAAAATGACTGCCTATCATAAGGATCATAGGCGTCGATAACAGATGAGTGTTTTTACGGCTATTAAGCTATCTTGTACACTTCGCATTAAAAGAGATTCTAAAAAGAACAATGTTCGCCTGCAAGGTCTGCTAGTAAACAATTTTAAGCTTAAAGTATCACAACACTAGTTAACCCAAAAACTCGTAATACAAAACTAAAGTGTCGAAACGAATGACAATGTCGGGAAATAAATAAATGAATGTAGTAACTTCACATTTTTTACAGCAGAGCTACCACTTAAATCCCGAGCGGGAAATTTAAATACCAGTTAGTCAGCCAGGCGCCGAATATGTATAGTTGGCAACAATGGATTTAAAAATCGCGCCCTCGATTAAGTAACTAAAAGTTTAATAGATATTAAATATAGTAGTGTAGACAGTGCGACAAATTACATTTCACAATGATAGGTTAATATATAGATAAGGTATGTTGACTGGTTTTGCATGGTTACCTGTTCTGTTTTAATTTAAAAATAGATGCAGTTTTTCTTAAATTACTTAAAATCGGTTTATCCAAAATTGTTCAAATTTGGCATGTGTATTCAGTATAAGCAGACATTAGAAGAACCTCTTTACGACTTAGCTGTAAAATTAATAGAGGAGCCAATATTTGCACAGTTCAAAATTTGCATGGGATTTCCTACGTTTCCAACGACCATGCACTATCCGGTATAGAATGTTCAGCCATCGTTCACCGTCACGTCATATATTGTCAAACTCTCTCAGTCACTTGCCAATCAGATGAAACAGATTGGTGACGTTTTTATGACATTTCGTAAATTACTGCATATTCTTTTTAGTAATTGTCATTGTCATTTGATTTGGGGTTATAATTTTATTGACCGACATCGATCAATGTCAAAATCAAAATTTGATTGTTGCTGTAAAACAAAATTCAAACTGTCTATTGCAAAAATGCCTCGAAAGATTTAATCGAAACGAACAAGAGCTTATTGCTAAGATTATAAATAATTTTTCTCGAGAAAGAGATGCTGGTAGAACACTTTTGCCCGTGGACCACAATGCATAGGTATAACATTCCTATGTAAAATACAAATTGATAGTGTTTTTCAATAATATAGCGAGTTGCTGACGAGGTTTTAGAAATAGGAATTTCAACAATCCAAAGGATTAAAGGGATCGTAACTGATTAAGAGTTCAAGAAAAAATGAATAAATACCGAAAAAAAAACGGAACTCGCTCAATCAGTAATATAGAAACGTACTTAAAATTATGATATGAACTGATCTCAGACACACCCAAAGACATTATAAAGATAGACCGAACATCTCATTCATAAATACTCGTTGGTAGTGTATCAAACATTCCAATGTGTCGAACAAGGACAGAAGAGATAGGGAAGTCTAAAATTTCCGACCCTGGCAACTAGGCACATTTGGATTCTTCTAATGGCCAGTGGCGTATCGTTTTTTGGAACGAATTTAAGTAGCAAAGCAAAAGTAAAGTAATTAGTAAAATTTTTACTCCATATTAATATACTACATTAACACTTTTTCGTTAGATGATTTTTGTTATAAGGTCTAATATAATAATGTAATTAATATCCCACATATACTTATGTTGAAACGTTAGTAGATAGTTTTCGAAAATCGCTCCAACGTCGATATTCAATTTAAACTGTCAGTTACTTCTCTATAAACTTTCAGTTACTTTTGAATATTTACAGGGTGACTCAGGCTTCCGAAACAGTTCTATATTAGGTTTGTGGTTGGTGACTTTTCTTTCAATTTTTTTTAGAATATGGAGGCAATGGTAAAGCACATTTTAGACATTTTTGTAAACATAGGTGGCCGGAACATATTTTCAAACTAAAGTTGTAGATTTGCCATTAAATTTCCATTCCAGAAATACCTAGGGTTGCCACCTGTCCTTTTTTGAAAAGGACAGTCCTTTTTTGGAATAACTTGTCCTTTTGACTTTTTTTGACTTAAAAAGTCATTTTTATTTACGTATTTTCCCTGAGAAAATTACCTACAGCAAACAGAAATATTCTTTTCGTCCAAATTTAATTCGAGATGTTATAAAACTTATAAATAATTTTTTCTTGTTTAGAATAGGCAACATTATTCAGAACTTCCCGTTTAATCTCAAATGATAGTTTAGGTTTTAGTTTTACTTTTTTTGATTTTAAAAAGAACTTTTCAAAATTAGTAATTAGTTACGATTTAGTTAGTTCGCAATCGATAGCTTCCTGTGAAGTACTGTGTAGTTGTTTAATCTTGTATTATTAATAACTTAATAATAATAGCTCCCGTATATAGCGTTTAACGCCGTGGGAATAGCAAGGTACAGCTTGCTATACTAGAGCCGTTCGGTATACAAGGAAGGTAATGTGGCTAGCACTACGCTTCAACCGCCTATTATTATCTCAGGATTGTGAATCCCAAGTACTCATTTAAGGCTGAGTCGACCTAGGTACCCAAACTATTTTTATTTTAATAAAAATAGTCGGCTGATGAAATGCCGGGTGTGGGAATCGAACCCACACCTTGAGATTGGTAGACGAGAACCTGTACCTCTACGCCACTGAGCCACCTTATTTTTAATAACTTCCTATTAATAACTTCCTATACCTAAAATCAATATTTATTTTAATGAGAAAATTGTGTTAATAAGACAAGAAGTGAAAATATAAGACAAGATTTTGACTTTCGGTCTTCTTCTCGTATTATGATGGCTCTGATACGAGGCAATTACCTTTTAGTCTCTCAATAGAAGGCATGTATCATTAAAAGTATCAAATCTGTGTGCTACAGTATGGGATTTCTGTCGCATAATAATACTTTATTTATAAATCCATTACTTAGGTAGCTTCATCAGACAATCAAATTTTAGTTAAATGTCCCAATCTTCATGAACTGTATTAAGCATATGTATTGCGGTTTGAATCACCCTGTATGTTGACAAAAATATTTTGAAAATGTGCTTTACAATGGCCCCGATCTTATGTAAAAAATTGAAATAAAAATCACAAACCAAAAACGTAATAGGTAAAAAGCTTTTTTGGAGGCCTGGGTCACTCTGTATATAGGTATGTATAAAACTAGTAGCCTAAGAATTATTTACAGTTTGGTTGTGATTCTAATTCGTCCCATTCTAAAAAAAGGTAAACACACCGCACAAATAACTCTAGAAAGAGGTATTTGTATTGTACGGTGGTAAAAAATTGTCTAAACAAGACCGAAGGGGCAGATATAAGATATAATAAAGCAATAAAATGTAAAAAAGGACGGGTAAACACCTTTGTTTAAAATTTTAGAATATCGAGCAATGACCAAAATATGACGCAATTTAAAAAAATGTCACTTTTTCTGGCTTAGAATAAAGTTTCAAATGCAACGTTTATATTCAAATTTGTTATGATTTACAACAGTTAGGTAATAATTGAGACGAATTATAATTCAATTACCGGCTACTACGTTCTTATTTTAATAGATCAAAATTCAACAAATATAATTAGAAATTATTTTAATTGTGAGAGGCTCCCTTGTGGGACGCCTATGTACGATTACGGCGGAAACAATACCTACCTGTGAAAAGACGAATTCGGGTAATTTGAGCTTATTTTTCCACACATTTGACAATGTCCTACCATATTGAAAATTCGCAGATTCAAAAGTACGTTAAACAAAAACAAAAACTAATGAAAAACACTGAAAAGTTCACTTCGGATTTGATTCCGACTTCAAACACACCGTAAGCTAAACGTAGTACGCTATAACGGACCAAGAGCCGTCGCGAGGGGTGGTGGGACGGACGGCTCATTTCATTCTGGAAGACTAGCAGCGACGTTGCCAATAGTTCTAGACGTTTCAGCACATAAACAGTAAACATGTCCTTTAATAGTAACGCATATATCCTCTGGTTAATAACATATTATTACGCATGCTTCTTTAAAAATAAACTATAAATTTAATTAAGAAATTGAGATTTATTGATATCCGGTGAAGGTTTTAAAGTCGCCTTTTCTGCAAATCAAACTAAGTAGATAGGCGCAAATTTGAGATGTGGCAATGTCGCCTTCTCTATCTCAGTTGGTTTTTACAGTACGTAGTCAACCTCCGATTGTTTGATCGGGTTAAAATGCACAATGTGATATCTGTTCTTACTAAATCTATGGACACACCCTAAAACTCATATTTGACAAATAATGATGACGTAACGGTGAACGATGGCTGAACAGTCTTTACATGCGTTGAGGTGAGATTTGTATTTTCTAGAAAATATTTTCTTACAACTAATCATTTGCAAAAGAGGAAGGAATGAGATACTAAAAAAAGAAACGAATTTGGTGAATTTCAACATCTTTGTGAAGATACTTCTTTTCATAAGGACCTTTTTAGATTGCGATAGTGATAATTCGATTTTCGCTTATTCCATAAATATTTCCATAAAAAAATAGTTCCTAAAGAGATCGAATTCAAACCAATTTCTCAAGCGATTTCGACCATTGAAAAGATACAGTCAATTCAATACATTTCAATTTGCTATGGCCTTGAAAAAAATCTAAAATATTTGTGTAGTTAAAAAATGGGTACGTATTTTTCTAATTCACTCGCCATGTTTCTCATTGTTTTTCTTCACGTGGTTTCAAACAAAACTTTTATTTATTTATGAAATAGGTACTTGTAACTTTGTACCATTGATTAGTAGTTTTCGGTTACTAATTATGATAAAAGTTGACCTTTTGTAAGAGATAAAAATTATTAAGAAGTCTAAATGGTTTAGGTTGAAAAAGATATTTATGTTTTATTATAATTTGGCGGTGATACATATGTTTTCTCAAGTATACATTATTGTTTTTTATTTGACATCGCGAGAGTAATACATTTAATATTAAATTGAATTTTTTGCAGTTTTTCAGTATTCCTTTAAAAACATCACTTTATTTAAGATTCACCTACACATTAAGTTTTACCTGAGCTGATATACAACGCAACCCATTATGAACGCCCGGCATGGCGCGGCACAATCCAGTTCATAATAGGTTGCGTTTTTGCGGAATTTTACTGGTGCTGTGCTGTACCGCGCCGTTCTGGGCGTTCATAATGGGTTGCCTGCTTTACATGTACATTTTCTTGGCAGGCCCTGGCAGTCATTGGCAGTCGTCTATAATAATTACATGGCAGTCATAGGCCGTCTTCTTCGCAGTAATTGGCAGTCGCTTGGCAGTAAAATTATATTTTGGCAAAACAGGTTTTACTTTATACATTTTGACTGAACTGACAGGTAAAATGCTATATGTTGACCACGGAGGAATAAAGGGGGAGACGCTAGTACACGTATTTCTGTATCGGTATCAGTTTCGTTCTTTGGGTGGGGCAAGAGGAGACCAAATGGACAGGACCGGATTAAGTAAAACTTCAAATAATAAAATCAAACAATGGTTAAAATTTGGCATGAGCTTATCATTGTGTATTATTAATCGTGTGTATCACAATTAACAAATTACTTGGCATTACTACACCAAACTTAAAATAGGAATAAAATACTAATTATAATGATCATTCGTTAATTCGGTCATTACGGACCTGTACACTGTTTATGTTACCTGTGAAATGTTACTCTGGTGAGTTTCTTCGAGTCGATACTTTTCTTGCTTCTACAACTGCGCACAGCACACGACACCATGGCTTTTAATGTTTTTGTAATAGAAAACACTCAAATTATCGATGAAAAACATTAAATTTTAGGAAAAATGCACAAATGACAAAAAGAGACCACAATCAAATATGTTTGGCGGCTGGCTGATACCGTTTTCGCAACAGCTGTAGCGCCTCCCCCTCTTATTTCTCCATGGTGTTGACGGAGCTTTAGATTCTTTTAACTGATAATAATGAAACTAAATTTAAAGTAAAAATATTTCTTAGAGATCCTAATAGAAATCCCCGCATTGATTATGTCACAAATTGACAGTCGAAATGATTTAGAATCAAGACATTTAATATAAAAAAAATTGTTAAGAGAGCTGTACCTCCAGAAGCCATATCAATAGTGTTGCCAAATGCAGCGAAATTCTTATTCAGTATTGGATAATGTAATAAAAGTATTTGAAATTAGGAGCTTAAAATATTTATTTGTGCAAATCAGGTTTTTATGGCCGATTCGCCTGTGGAAAGGGACCGCAATCGCTTGGAGAGGGACACGGGGGGAACTCCCCTGGTCAAGCAAGAGCCTCACGATGGCAACCCTGTCGATTCCTACCATTCGATGTCGGAAGCGTTACAAACAGTAAGTTTATTCGAGTTTTATTTTTAATAGTCCTTTGTTAGTCTAACATTAATTAAAAAATTATTTTTTCTCAGAAATTTGCCACAACCCACAACAATAAAATTATTCTCTATTTCAATATAAGCTCACAGATTCAGAAATAACTAACTGAAATATGAATAAAAAATGTACTAAAATTTGCAAATACATAAACAGATATATTCCCATGTAAATTCTCCCTATATTGCGGGAAAGGGTTCGTTAGGATCCAAACACTCAAATTTAATTCAAATTAAGTGCATGAAAACATTTTCACTTTTTGTAAATTATTTCCTTAAATGGTCAAAAATTCATGAATAATAAATTAAAAATGAAAATAATACAAGTTTTTTAAATAGCAGCCATATTGCCGTGTCTACAATCGAACACATTCTATCCAGTATCTTGTTATTTTTGTTTGAGCCAAAGCAACATACAAAATGTCAAAACGAGGAAAACCGTGACTTTCATATACAGACTGTCCAAATATTCCATAGACATAGAACATAGAACTACTGCGTATTTTTGGAATCAAAATAAGTTCATTGGACACAATTTACCTCTATACAAAAGTGCTTCATTTGTCCGCTAGAGGGTATCAAAATAAACACATTTTTTTAAATATTTTAAGAACCGTTATTCCGACTTTAATGAGATATTGGGTGTCTATGTTTTGCCAAGTGCTTTAACATTTGACCTTCACAAAAATCAAGAAAAAGTACGGGAAGGGTGAAACTAACCCTACCCCTACATATATTGGTATAAATATTTTCCAACTCAACCGACAACCGTTTTTTTTTTCTTTCGTAAAATGGTCCCCCTAGTATTTACTACATTTTTTGTCTCTTGTAAAAAAAACGACACCTCGCATAGCTGTTGAGAAAACAATTTTTGGAGAATTTATTTTTCCAAAGGTGACCTACAAATATACAGGGAGTTCCAATATTCCGTGGACACAATTAACAAGTACAGTTCATACAAATAAACTTTTAGTCACGTGATTAAGCTCGACTGGTACAGCGTTGCCCACTTTTATATATTTTCTTTCAATCAAAAACAGTTATTATTTACATTAATAAAACTCACCTTAACAGCACTTAAGGGACATAAAGGGCTATTACTACCGATTTCCCGTTCAAAATATTCTAATAAAGTTGCAATGAGTTTTTTACGGCTATTAAGCTATCTTGTACACTTCGCACTAAAAGAGGTTCTAAAAAGAACAGTGTTCGACTGCAAGGTCTGCTAGTAAACTATAACCCACAAAATTCTAAAAGTTACTGGTTTGTGGAAGTATGCTTTGGAATTAAATAAGACAATAGAAAATTTCATTAATGACTTATATTTAATTAACAATTATTAACAATATTGGCTGTGACAGTCTCGATTATATGAGATTAGATATGCAACTGGAATACTTAAGTGTTTCTGCTTCGGTTGGTTAGGAGAAAGGCCTCACCCTCTTCGCTGCACTCGTCCGCTGGTGGGTAGCGTGATTGTCCGGCTAACGTTGGAGAGCTTGTGAGACTCCACCAGTCTCAGTGCGTGAGCTACTAATGGGGAGGGTCAATTCTCGTATCTTCCTAGAAGATAACAAACAGCAGTATTCTATTCAACACAATTGATAAGTACCCAGTTTTGTGGTGGTGTTCTAAATTACCAATTGAACTGTCTGTTGGTTGCCAGTGAAAGTACAATAAAAATAACTTATGATTAAAGAACATATTAGTGATTCAAATAAACAATAATCAATATCTAAATCCAACTACTAATTATTATAATAAAAATTATAATTAAAATTTAAAAAAGAAAATAGGCAATGACAGTTTAAATTAAGTTATAATTGAAAAGATTGTCCAAATTATTTAAAGAATATAAATATAGAATTATAACAAAAATATAAAAGAAAAATATTTTGCTCTCTCTCTCTAGAAAATTCCAGACCACCACAATCACTTCGGTACGACTTGAAAAAAAAAATATATTGTTACAGTAAATTATTTGATTTAATTTGTAGACACGTGTAAAAAGAATAAAAAAAATATGTAAGATTAAAAAAAATAGAAATATAGGAAAATTTAAATTAGAACAAAAGTTAATACTAAAATGCGATATTAAAAGATAAATTAAAAAACTAGATAGAAAGATAAAGGTAAATAGAAAGATAGAGATAAGATACGTAAAACGATAAATGCTCAATTCGACAGATAAAAACTAAAAGAAAAGATATGTCACTCCAGGAACGAAGATAATGCATCCGCTAAATAAGATAAAGATAAGGTAAGGTAAATTTGGCAGATACGAGGTAAAGATACGTTCCCCAGAGTGACCCAAAAACAACAAAAAACAAAAATCTATCTGTCGAATGGCCTGCCAATAGACACCACCACTACAGGGTCCAGATAAAACAAGAGTTGCCTTCTGGCAAGCAAGGATTCGTTAAAGGTGACATAAGTCGTATAATATAAATATTATTAAAAAATCCTTACTTACCAGAGTCCCTCCTGGTTCGTCTCTGAGAGTACTCCTTCAGTGATTGATTCTGTTCATGGCCCCTGAGATTGCTAAATCGAACACCTCTGCGGGTTCCTGTTCGACAGCTTGCGTCTCAGTACATAAATAAGAAAGATAAAAATAATTAGTACTAAATAAAAGTTAAAGGTATTAGAATTTTTTTTTACAAAACTACCATACACGTGCTACTAAGACAAGAAGATAAAGAGATGATGAAAAAAAAAATAAACTGTGAGATAAAAAGATAAAATAGAAAAAGGAATTTAAAGTTACAAGCTAATTAAATAATTAAATCAAATAATTAAATCATATTAGATAGTAAGAAATGTTTAAAAAAAATAAAACTAATAAATCATTTCCAAGTCGTACCTCGTGCCGGTGTCTTGAAAAAAAACTAGGTGTTTAAGCAAAGAAGATCGAGATGAGAGAGAGTGATTCTTGGCAAAACAAAAAAAAAAGTCCCTTTATAGAATTCTCCCACTCATTTAGACATGCGTTAAGTACCAAATGTCAATATAAAAATTTTATAATTAATAGTAAAAATAATAAATACGATAAAATTTCTTACATACCTTCAAAAAATGTGTGTAACAATTGCATCTTAATTATTTAACACTAAACAAAATATTAATAATAAACCTTCGTTTTTCATTAAAAATAAACAAATTATTATCGGTAACCCATAGGCAACCAGAAAATATATAAAATATTTAAACAATTTAAACTAACAACCATCGCTAGTGATGTGTACCACTATCGAGGTTCCGCAAAAAATCGATAATATATAAAAAACGTATAAACGATATAAAAGGAAAAATGTAACGAAAATATTTTCGTTACAAAACATGCAAACAACGATATTTATTTCAACGAAAAACTCGTAATACAAAACTGAAGTGTTAAAACGAATGACAATGTCACAAAATAAAAAAAGTAAATAAATGCGGCAACATGATATTATTTACAGCAGAGCTACCACCTGAATCTTCAGCGCGAAATTTAAATTTCAGTTAGTCAGCCCGGTGCCGAATATGTCCATGGTTGGCAACAATGAATTTAAAAATCTGGCCCTCGATTACGTAACTAAAAGTTTAATTGACATGAAATATACAACACAAGCGCATGCGAGAGGTCACCTACGCTCTCTGGAGAAGAATATGGACACTTTCTAATAGAAATATTAATATTAGACTAACAAAAAATAATACATGTATTTGTATAATATGTGTTAAAATTTAAATTCATTTTAGTCATCCATAGCTTCTTTTCTAGTAGAAATCCTGAAAGTTTAATCTAGTTTTCGCTATTGGCATATTTAAAATATCATCGCCTAACCGGGTGGTTGGCGATAATTTTGAGTCAACTTAAATAGTCAGCTATAGCTCTATGGCATGTGAGTCTGCTGCTGACTCTAGAATACAGAGTTCGCACCTCACAGCCGTCGCGTGGCAATGGTAAACCACTTTAAAATTATCATGGCATTTGTCGAAAATATTATTTTCTAGTAAACTCAAACATAATTATTGTTAAGATATTTAAAAAAATATATAATCTATATGTAATTGAAGATCTACTTTCTACCTAGGATAAAATTTTCTTAATAGTACCATAGTAGAAGGAAAAGAGTAGTTGCACTCTCCGAAATATTTTCTGCCAGTTTTTACAATCTGTCGAATATCGGCAGATTGCAGAGCATTTCAGTTGAGTTCCGTCCGTCGACCTGCGAGGTGCGAGCGTTGCGTCCCAGCACAGAGACGGATTGACAAAAAATGATGACAAAAATATGTTTTGTTACATGCGAAAGTCCATTGATACTTTCTAGCGGTCAAAATCAAACTCTTCTAAATAAGAAACGATTTCTTAATGATCTTGCTTCTGAAGTTCCTATAATGTTTGTTAGCAATTACTTAAGTTTAAATTTAAAAATGGTAATTAATTGGCCCCAGAAATATGAGGATTTTTCTGCGAAATTTTTTTTTGGAAAAAATTAAACTTGTTTTAAATTAAAAAAAAGTAGAAAATCTCTGAAATAAATAATAATATAAAAATATGTCATATATTTTTTTCGCATTTCTTCCCATCAGAAGATTTTCAGATACAGAAGAATTGTTACTCACACGAATTGTGAAAATATTCTGTTTTCAAGCAAATTTTTACTCATTGATCAATTTTTTTATATTATTTTATTGTGAACTCATTTTCTTAAATACATCTCTGTCAAACTGTGGCGAGTGCCACGACTATACTTTGCCTAGTTATAAACCACGGCTATACAGCTACGTCAGTGGTCACGGGACCAAGGCGAGAACAAGGTCATATAAAGTGGCAGAAAAAGAACAAAGGATTTGACAAGGAGTAAAGCTACTAGTTTCCTTATACTATTATAGTACATAAGCTTCATTATTTAATACTGTATGTAAAAGAGATTGTGAGATTACAGTGTATCAGTAAGTTTCATAATCGGGATTTCATTGTTGTACTAATAAAGAATAAGCTGTTACTATCAGTGATTTTACTAGGAAAGAACCTAACATCATATCATCGCATTTTAATTTTAAGGATATGTGTACAATTGTCGGATTCAGTAGACATTTTGTACATTTCTCGTACATTCTTTTCCGGTTATCGAAACGAACTGCACTTAATAATTTGGGTTTTCGCGAAAACGCCTGACTGAGTTTCCCGCGTAATGAGGTAGAAGGAGTGAGGAAGTAAAACCGTTATTTCGCGTGCATTTCAAACCGATTTATTTATTTTCTTCAAGAATCGGTTTGAAAATCCACGTCGATTAAAGAAAAACAGAAACCCGGCCATTGACACATATCCTTCCCTTTCTCTGTCCGCAGACGACCTCTACAAACCTCCTCACACCTTCTACCTCGGCTTGGGCGCGACCGTCCGACTCTGAGTGCACTACCTTGACCCTACTGACCAGCGCGCCCAAAGACCGGCATTTCACGCTGCGACAGTACCTAGACGCGCCACCAGGTGACTTTGCTTCATCTGACACCCGCCCTTCGATAACCGGTGTCGAACTAGGAGGTCTACAGGCCATTTCCAACTACTATAGAGTCCCTCTACCGGTACCCCCAGAAATCAGTAAGAGCGCCGCTCAGGAATGCTCAGTGATACAGTCAGTGACTAAGGGAAATACATCGTCCAGTGTAAAAAACGTGCCAGTTCCCAGGCCGCAAGTAGGTAGGAAAGGATCGCGCTTCAGACATTCGTGGTTAGAGTCCTACGTTTGGCTGCAGTACGACGAAAGACAAAACGTAATGTTCTGCAAGTTCTGTAGGAAATGGAGCGGCGATATGCCAGATATACGGACTTCGTTCGCCGAGGGCAGTACGAATTTTAGACTGGAAATAGTGAACCATCACGATAAGTGCAAGGCGCATAGGTTGTGTGTGGCTAGGGAGTACCATTCGGAAACGTTAGATAGGTCGAAATCGTCACAAGATGTCGCTGACTATTCTCAAGTTCCTGAAGCTTCAGTGTCGGGTGGAGTTGAATAGGGTAAAACAGTAATTTTACTATGTAATGAACCTAGAGGACCTCTTGATAGAGATGCACGATATTTCTATAAAATTTCTGAATATTGATACTTTCTGTACAGAAATAAAAAAATAATTAACAAAATAATTGAAAATGTTGCTTCTCTATATAGTTCTTTGAGTTTAAAAATACTTCTTTATATAGTTCTAAAATCTAAAATACGACAGCGATAGTCCTACAGACGCTATGTTTTAAACATAAATTGTGTATTTTAAAGAACCGCATTTACTTCTAACTAATGTAAAATTTCAATACACATAATAGATCATTGTGTGAAAGATATCAAATTTAAAATATTGCTATAAAATATTATATAAGTATTGGAAAATTGTATCATGCATCTCTACCTCCCAGTAATTGTTGTTTGAAGTAGAATATAATTTATAGAAATAAATAAAAGCAGTCCATGTCAAATACATAATAGTATTTCAAGGTTAGATAAGACAGATCTTTGAATAAAAAAATTAAGAAAGGAGTAAAATACCTACTATCCATGTATTTATGCATAGTGGACGGAATCAACGTTATAGGTCCCCATCCTTGACAGTTCTGGTTGACATTTCAGTTGAAACATTTGAATATGATTTGAAATTGTCTAGATTTGCTTGTCTTTACTGCCTATTTTATGTTATTTATTATTTAATCTACCGTTGGTTTTGTTTAGAGGTAGTAAATCTAGAAAGAAATTGTGTGTGTCAGAACTTGAATTAAAAGTGATACTGTTGCGATTTATCGAAAAAGACGTAAGATAGTTGGTTGTGCAGCGTGCGGGAGATCTCGGTTAATAATCGGGGGAAATAGACAGTTAAAGCATGGCATAATACGTATCTCACGGTACGTATGTAACTTATGTATGAAACGTAGTCACAGATGAGGATGCGACGTCGCGTAAACGAAAGTTAAAGCAAGTAAACGGTACATATTGAATTTCTATGTAATATCTAAGGATAAAAATCATTGGAAAACAAAGACACTATAACTTTTGTTCATATAGGATATGTTTACTTAAATTTGATTGCATTCTTTTAGAATCCTCATATAGATTTATGTATATGTTGCGGTTAAGGTCCGATGTCTGGTTAATGTCGACATTACCCAATTAATCTCGAGAATAACACACAACAAAACCACCAAAAACATAACCTAACCCAAACATTAACATGTTAATGTCGACATTAACCGGACATCGGACTTTAACCGTAACATATTATACTATGAAATATTCTTTAGCTTAATATTATCATTGCATTCGTAATCAACGATATTATCAAATGATTAATTTATTATATTAAAATAAGCCCATGTCCTGTTACACAAATCAATTTCTGAAATATTTCAAATAACTACTAATAACTAGCTCAGGTCTGAGAGCCAGGTATCAAAAAACAGATTTGAACTTGTTCGTTCGGCATCAGCGGCGTAGCGGGGCGTCGATACAAGGGGATGTAATAAGTAACTGCAATTAACATTTTACCAACACAATAAAGTTTTTTTTTATTAAAGTCTAATTTTGAAGTTACAAAAATAAAATATACAAAAACACAGGTTAGAAAAATAACCAAACCGATTAAAAAAAAGGACTAAATTTAGGTAATTTAGTTCTAAAAAACAAAGCTGTGAACGTATCTGTTAGATTTTAACATTAAGATCAATTCTTCTAGTACGCATATAAACTTTTATTACATGTTCTTCAAATGAAGGAGAAGAACGCATACTCTTTACTATCGAATCGTTCATCGCAACGCGTGACGGTATTTTTAATCTATACCGCGAACGAGATGTGTTTGTGGATGTGTTTATGAAACCGCATCACCCATCGACTAAAACAGCGAACGGGAGACGTAATCGCGACCAGAAAGTTCGCTGACCTCGGCGTTCAAGATGTAACGAGGACAGTCGCATCATCGCTCTGTCGAGATATTCTTATTTTTAATTGTTTAGCTTCGGTCTTAGCTTTATCTATGCAGCTCGACATTAAATGATTGAAATTGAATTTAATTATTTGAATAAATTTACTGAGAATTTTAATTTATTATAGGAGATATCGGTGACTTTTTTTAATAAAAACGTCTTAACAATATTTTGAAGGGTTTTCGACGCATCACCCGCACCACTGGAAGCTTCGCAACTGTTCGGCATCGTTCGGGTGAAATCGAAACTTCTTCGGCTCAATACGTTTGCGTTTTGTACGTACGTAAATGCACACAAAGATACGTGTCACGTATCCGTAAATGCAAGTGAATTTCTCACTGCGCAAGCGTACATGTCAAATGATACGTTTACGTCTTTGGTCGTGCTTTAACTGTCTAATAATGGAATAACCTTTCACTGGTATGTGACTATACACATACGTGTAGTAAACCGATCATTTATGAAATTTACTTATAATTATACATTTTTTTACGTATACGTCTTTGGTCGTGCTTTAACTGTCTAATAATGGAATAACCTTTCACTGGTATGTGACTATACACATACGTGTAGTAAACCGATCATTTATGAAATTTACTTATAATTAACTAATTATACATTTTTTTTCTTGCTTTTCGCTGTTATTTGCTACTTGTCAAAAATTAAGATACGTCAATTTGATTGACGTGCTTCAGTAGCGTATGTTATGTTTGTGTTATATATAATTATTATAACTTATCTATTTTTATTAGAATTATATATTTTTATAACAATTTTAATAACTATAGTCTGTCCAACGAGAAGATCCTTGACAGTGATAGATGTGTCTGTCATTTTAATTTCAAAGTAGAGTATTCTATTTTACAAAGAAATAAGTTGGTACAACTGGAACGCACAGCAGGAAATCAATATATTTAAAATTTGACTGACAAGTGATTACTTCAACTTCAAAATATTGTGAAAAAAACTGAAAAAATGTAATCGAGTTATTTTATTTAATAAAAAACGGTATGCTGTAATACAAAACAAACAAGAACAAGACACCACATACCAAAAAAATATGAAAAAGAACTATTTCTTACTTTCAAGCTTTATAAAACTTCCCGCCATGATTATATTTATCAATATAACTTAAGTACAAATACAAATTTGTAATATTCCACAGGAATAAATAAAACAACATAAATAAAACAAACTATTTTATTAATAATAACACTTACCAAATTTTATACCTTAAATGTTGATTAATTAACTTTAATCTTAATTTTTTTAAACCAGTACCACAAATTACCTAATTTGTGCCAGTACCTTTTGACATTTTTCTGCAGTACTAAAATCCATTATTTACCTATCGTGTCGATAGTTTACAGCTACTCCAGTTTTTAGTACCTATGTGTTTAGTATGGTCCTTAAGCGTCAAAAATCTAAAGGCGAGTTCATACGCATCGGCGTCTGTTTGTCGTTCATCGTTCTGTCAAACCAATAAAATTGAAATACGATCTATCATTTTTGAAATAAACCAATAAAACTGGTTAAAAACAACAAGAGACGACGCATGACAAATTTATATTTAAACCCATCCATAGCTAACTTAAAAATAATTAGAAACTTTTTTTAGTAAAATAAATAGATTGGTATGGGACGTCATCTGCTTTTCTTCTGTCATCGTCTGTCGAAATCTTACCTGAGAAAAAAAACAGAGTATACCAACTTTTATTGACAACGTAAAATAAAACAACAAATTACTGAGTCTATCCTACATTATATTTTTACACATTTGATAAACCGGAATTTAAGTCGGCCATATTAGGTCCCCATAGCGCTTGACCTAAGATTTTTGTTATGCTTCTTCCTTAATCTTTTTGTTCAAAGATCTATATTTTAAGGCTATATGAAATAAGTGTTAAATCAACATTATTGCTGTAAAATATAAAGTGCAACAAATTTGTGATAAAAAATGAAACACAGAATATATTCAATTATCTATAGTACGTCAAATATAATTAATACCAGTTCTAATATTATAGAGAAAAACATAAATATATACATATTTACATTTACATATATTTTATATACATATATTTATCTATCATATACAAAAATCATTGTTAAAAACATTTGTTATATAATGCGCAGGTGTTTTAATGTTTTTATGTAAAGCACTCTAAAATTGTGTCGATGTCGTCTGAGGGGCCACGTATTTTTTTCTGTTAAAATAAATTATTAATTTTATATTAGTGTATATAGGGTTGTTAAATGTCAAGGCTAGTGTACCGCAATATATGCCATTAAAGGAAAATCTGTATTTTTTTTCTGTTTAGTGTTTTAAAATGTTAGTATTAATTACAGTTTTTTATTATATTGTTTCTTCTTAGACAGGGTAATGGTCTCAATGGGGATATTTGAAGGTATTGGGGGTATATTTGAGTATAGTATATTTAAAAATCATCTATCTCAATACCAAATATCTACTTGACAATTTTGAATACTCTGTATAATAGTATTTATTGTATTTTATTAGCAATTTTAGACAGTGATATAGATCACTCTTAAACTAATATCTGTTAATTTTATTTAAATTTTAATTTATATGATCCAGTTTTTTATAATTTATCTGATAAGAAAAATCTTTGATAAGGTATATAAATATAATCCTTTGTTGTTTTAAACCAGATACTATTCAGTGTTATGTAATATGTTATATTAGGTCGTTATTTTATGTTTTTATTTTGTTAGGTAGAATAGAGTACTTTATTGTAAACGTTGTAAGCCAAAAAATAAATTTATTTAGCTTAAACTGGGCAATTTTTTTCACCTTACCCGATTTATCACTGTTTGGCGATTCTTAAATAAGTGCAAATATTTTTAGGGTTGGTAAATTTCGACCCCAGGAACACGCCTATGAAGTTTTTTTTCGCACAAAAAGATGTTGAAAATCATGCATTTTCTTTTAAATATTTCTGTATATTTTAGAAAACTTTTTAAAACTGCCTGTTCACCGCAAATATTTTCCTTTGGTATATTAAATCTATGATATTACCGTGGTTACGCCACTAAAAAGAATGCAAATACAGAAAAAATCCGGTGGCTCTTAAAATTTTTTAAAAATAAATCATTTTTTAAATTTTCAAACTTGGATATCTCGGTTATTTTGGACTTATTTGAAAAACGGTAAAGAGAAAATATGTTTCATTTAATGAGATCTACCAGACCTGAAAATATATAAGCACTATTTAAGCTTCACCCTGTATAATTTTTAGTAGTTCTATATAGTCATCATTACTTTCTAATATTTTACTAAACAGTTAATTTCAACATACATTTATAAAATGTATGTTAAGACTATATAAATGTATGTAAATTTTTGTAGAAAGTTAAAACATTTTCCACAAAAATGTTTGTTTCTGTTTGCTAAATTTCATGCTATGCCATATTTTAACATCTAAGTAAAATTTTAAAACTGGCAGATCAACACTAAGCAGATCTCTTTAATTTAAATATTTTTAGAGCACACTCTACAACGATT